GACAGCCATCGCCTTCTACAATAACTCTTTAATCAAATGACTTAGAACAATAGGTGGGTAGAGTACCCAAAAATTTAAAGCAGGTTTGTTTTTCAGTGGGTAGAGATGAAAGAAATTTTCCTCTGGTAAGAGTACCAGTACTTCATAATAAAATTACTCAAGTAAAAGTAAAAAGTACAGCATAGTAAAAGTACTCCCAAAAGTTCTTTTTTTTTTTTTTTTAATGTTACTCAGGTAAATGTGATTTAGTAAATGTAGCTATTTACTCAACTCAGGTTACAACAACATTTAATACAATAAAGTATTTTTGAATTTGAATTAATCAGTGCTTCTTTCTGTGAGTTTAGCAGCATTTACCTTCCCCTATTAATTTGAATCCATGAAATTAAAAGATGAGAAGACACATTTGCAACAGCTGCATTGTTTATTAATCTTATTAGCCATTAGTACAGAGGTGAAGAAGTATATCCAAGCAGGTTGGAGTAGATGAATAAATGTCAGGTGTGATTAAAGAGTTTTAGCAAGAAAGAAAGCTGATGTGATGGTAATGGATGAAGAGGAAAGGACTAAATGGAGACAAATGATTCACTGTGGCAACCCCTGATGGGAAAGGCCCAAAGAGAGAAAGAAGAAGTGAAAACAGTGAGTCCATCCTAGAAAAATATGTTGGTCCAGCCCACACTCATGACTTTTAAACACATCAGAAGCTTGAATCTAAAATAATTCTCACTATTTATAATGTTGAATTTTGTTATTTTCAAATTGTAGCTTTTTCATACAGTTTGAATTTCATTCAAATGTCAACAAAATTTCAGTTTACAAATAAAACATTAATAACCTTTTTCTGAAATCAGTCATAAATGTGTATTGATATTTTTATACCTAGTCAAGTCTGATTTTATTCGTCAAAGTAAAGCTAAATTATCTTCTACCTTTCCCAGTTCCTTGGAAAATGAGCGCTTACTCTGAAAACTTTCTTTTTTTATTTTCTTTCTTTCTTTTTTTTCCTAACCTCATTCCTCGGCTGTTTTTCCCGCTGCTGAGAACATTGAAGGGGGCGGCCATGGAAAAGTTGCAGGATTGCAGGGATTCCTTGTTTACATCCTCCCGGAGCGCGCCGGGGTGGGCGGTTAGCTCCGCCCCCATTCTTCTGGGCTGACGTCATTGTCGCTTGGTGTTTTTTATGAATGAAAGAATCCAACCTCAGAGCGCAGCGGAGTAATTCCGGGAAAAGGCGGACTGACATTTTGTCGCCAGAGTCGCGTCGAATCAGCAGGTAAATTATCACTTGTTTATATCTAAATGTGGAGGTAAATGTTTAAATATTGTGCTGTGACGCTGTTATTCGGTGGTAATTACCGAGTATTGGAGGAATGCTGTCCACCGGGCGACACGCCAAGTGAGCAGGCAGCTGTTCGGTTTAAACCGTCCATGCTAGCTGCTAACGGTTAACATTACTAGCATATTAAGAAATACCTACAAAGTTAGGCTCGCTTCCTAATTAGCGTCTCTTCTCGCGTGTTATCGAATATAAACAAATGCTTTCTACTAAACTATATATTCCGTATTTGTTAACAGCCGCTCGGTAAGTTATTTAAACCCTAAATGTCCCGTGGACTCGTGATGGCTGTTTACTATAGCAGCGGCGCCCTAAGCTGGCCAGCTCCTCTCCTATACGGTTTACGGGTGGATTTTAAACAGCTAAGAACATGGTAAACAACATAATAATGAGCGCTGCGAGCTATTTGACACAGAATAGTAAGAATAGTGGATACTAAAGGGTAGAATGGTTAAGAATCGAGCAGGTTTGACCGTGTTGCGTTCACTTGTTGCTTCCATGTTGTTATTTAAGTGCTTCACCCAGCTCGCTCGGTGTTTTGGTTTAATTAAAGCGGAATATTGTGAGCTGGCTTCGCCTCGTAGCGGTGGGTGCTGCTGGGTTTCTGCTAGCTGGCAGTCCTGGCGGGGCTAAAGCAGAAGGCGTATTGCTGAATCACCCTGACTTTACAAAGAGGCGGTCCCCTCGGTCCGCAGCCCGAGTCCTGCCCGGCGGCTCGGACACTTTTTCCGCTGCGACCGCTGACTTCCTACGCTTGTCGGGAACCGGAGCTTGTTGCAGCAAAACCCACTCGCCCATGAAAAGACTTTACTTTATCCAGCGTTAGTGGACCAGCCGCAGGGCCGTGGAGGAACGGGAGGCTGGGCCCGGGACAGGTGACTCGTACCTCTGTTTCGTTCCCTCTCGTTGCCGTTTCGTGCCATTCTACTGAAATTAAACAAAATTAAGACCAGAAATCATGTTTAAATGGGACACCTAACATACACGTAATTACGTAAACCTTTAAATATATGTTTATTTTAAAAACAACAATGTTTATTCTGAGGTTCGAGCTTCTTCCTGTCACTGAATCTGACTAAATTGTTTAGGGAACTACACAACCCACAGTCCTGCTGAAGCAAGTCAGGCCTTTAAACTGGCGTTTTTAAATAGCTATGACATAAGATTAAGAGGAAGTTCAGTGAGCAATAAATAAATAAAATTAACAACAGCAGCGTCTGTTTTTATGAAAGACACCCAGAGTTCAGAGAGGATTTCTGTCTGCCTTCAAAATAAACAGAATTTTACCTTGAATTAATTTCTCCATCTGATTGTTGATGTGAATAATGAAAAATATTAAACCTTATCTGACAGAACCATCTGTAACCAAAGCCACTAGTCCAACCAATCATTGAGTCGTTACATTTTAAGAACCGACTTTTTTATTAATAGCTACAACACAAATGCGGTAATTAGTATTTGTTTAAACTTGTCATGTCATACTTCGGTTATTTAAAAATAATTGTTCCTGCTTAAAAAAGGCTAAATAAGTAACAGAATAGTTTTATGCAAATCAAAAGCAGTTACCCAAACAAGAAATTAACCAAACTGCTTTATCTTTCTCCGTCCCAAACTCTTTAGTCATTGGCTTTCACAACATCGGCTTTCAGCCACTCCCACGTACAGTCATGCTCTGAACAGAACCAGAACCAGAACAGAACCGGCCGGGATTCACAAACCAAACTGAAAGGCTACATAAAAAGAAACACCTGGTCACCTCACTTCCATTTTTTAACCGCTCTGTTGTGATAAACATTTCTGGGCGATAAATTGTCCCAGAAGTGATAATGATAAACAATAATATTGTTTTTGAGACTATTTAAGTGTAGTAATGGTAATAATGACATAATAATACAAGAACTCATTCTCAAAGATCGATAAACTTTAAATTTGTAATTTTCACTTAGCACTAAAAGACATTTTAAACATGGAAAATAAAATAAATAACCAAAATCAATAACCAAAACTATAAGTACAATTAATTATGAAACCTCTACATATGAAATTTCACCAGAATGGAAATGATCTAACTCATTTTAATTCATCATGTAATGAAACTGGTTGATTGCTTGTTGTTAGAGACACTTAAACGTTTCAGTTTCTTCTTCTTTGTGATAAGTTTTTGTTTTTTTGTCACTGTTTTTTATGTTTCTGGCCTCTGATTTGCTGCCTGAAGCAGATAATTGATTAATTAATAAGATCAATGTAGTGAAGTCAACTGGATTTTCATTCTGTGAAAATTTACCTTCACACTGCAGGGCAACCAGACCCACCCTAATGTTTTCCTGTGCTGCTGTAACAAGACAAACGTTTTCAGTATGTAGAGATAAGTAGACATAATAATCCTGTAATAACATTTTCTATAAATTTAGCTCTGATCCGTTTGAGGCAGTAAAAAGGTTCTGACTTGAGATCAAACACAACAAGCTAACTTCCTGCTGGCAGCCATCTTTAATTTGGTTCACATCATTACATTTCCTCTGTAATCTGAACAGATTGTAGAAAATGACTTCAGGTTGTCATCTGAACTGACTGACGGTCGGTATGAAACGACCCGGGTCCGTTTCATACCCAGGATGGGTTGAGGGTCTCCAAGAAGTCTGTGATTTCCCAGCCTGGAGCCAGTCTGTGAACGTCTCGTGTTATTCAATATTGCAGTGACAGAAACAGAAAAACCTAAAAAGCAGGACGACGTTTCAGAAGAGGCTGGAGGAACTGGACCAGAGAAACTTAAAACGGCTCAAGACAAAACAACTGAAAATAACAGAATTTAACTGTAAAAAGGAGAAACTGAACAACCGCAGCCTGAAAAAGTGAAGCGATGACAACACAGACACAAAATCAGCTGAAATATATGAATTTATGTATTCATATAAAAATGGACACAAAGAATCCTGAAATATACACATTGAATAAAAACCAGGAGGCAGAAAATATTCCCTGTTGCCAAATTCCACTGTTACTTAAATAATTAAACAGGATAGTCAGAGTTTTCCCTCAAACCCAAACATGGCCGCCCTGCATTTAATCGCCATGGAAACAAACCAATAGTTTCCTTTTCTTAACACTTTTCTCTCATTAAAGCTTCAACACGCACACATTTACTTTATCAGCTGTACAACAGAATTAATCAGCCTTGTATTTATTTTGTAAATCAGTCTGGTGGGCCCCACAGAAAGAGACCTGGGTGCCGCCGGTGGTCTGCGCCCCACCGTTTGAGAACCTCAGATGTAGGAACTGGTGTTGCCTTGATGTGTTGCTGCGTTGCTTTAATCCTCCAGTGATTGTGAGCCCTAAATACACCAAAGCTGTTACTACTATGCCGTTTTTATGCAAGCAGGATTTAGGTTGTGTAACCAAGTCTGTCTGGTTGTGGTGCGTTCAAGTGCTACTCAGACATTTTAAAACTGTTTCTAGATTAATGTCAAAGAAGGTAAAAACTTTTCATCAGTAATTAAAGTTTCTAATTTCCTGGTTGGATTATCCTGTTGGACATTCAGACATTTCCTCAAATCCAACATGGCTGCTTTTCATTTGAACCTCAGGAATAACGTTTCAAACACGTTTGAAGCCTCAATCAGGGAAAGGTGTTTGAACAAATCTGCTGTTTTTAGCTTGTGTTGCTAATAGCAGTTAGCAACCTGAATCAGAACCGACTTTATTGGCCAAAATTGTGACGAAAGAAAGAATTTCACTTCGGCTCACATCAAACAGACATGAAGTACAAACAGATCCATTCAACAAATTAGAATATTTCTGAAAAGTCTGTTTATTTCAGGAACTTCATCACCAAATGAATCACATTCTGTAGATTAATCACACCCAGTCGGGTGATTTTCCGCTTCAAAATTAGAATGTTACATTAAAGCAATAAAAACTATTATTGGTTTGTTTAATACCTGCTTAAATGTTTTTAACTGACAAATGAGACTCATAGGAACATATATTCTAATTTATTAATCCTATTATCTATAAACATTAATGAAAGAGAAAAAGATCAGTATATAGACGTCTCTGCAGAAAATCTTTAATGAGATTTAGTTTGTGGAGAACTTTTTTCCTCCACTGAATTTCTCCTTTGAGGAGCGTTGGTAAAATAAAAATCAGTGAACTATTCGTTTGTCCCACTGGGACTTTGGAGCTCATTGCAGTTGCACCTCATTTGAAAATATCTGCTGTAATTTCATCTCGGTACTGAGGCAACGTTTAGTCCAGCGTTAAAGGAACCAGAGTTTATATAGGAGAGCACCGATAAATCCGTCCTGATTTTTATCTACATTTTAAAGGCAAGCGGACCTTAAAATGGCAACGGGTTGAAGCGGACCGGAGTCGGGTTGAAGCGGACCGGAGTCGGGCTGAGGCGGACCGGAGTCGGGTTGAAGCGGACCGGGGTCGGGTTGAAGCGGACCGGAGCGGGTTGAACCGGACCGGAGCAGGAGCGGGTTGAACTGGACCGGAGCGGGTTGAACCGGACCGGAGCGGGTTGAACCGGACCGGAGCAGGAGCGGGTTGAACCGGACCGGAGTCGGGTTGAAGGACTTAAATATATAAATGTTTCTTACACAAATAATAAAATCTTTTGGGAATAAATTGTAGTTGGCTTGAGTTGACTTTAAAGTTTTCTGCAAAGATTAAATATATAATAATTTAAAATATTTCATGACCCAGTGAATCGGCTTCGATTTCTCTAATTTTGGGAGATTATGTCTCCAGGTCATGGTCATGTCAATAATCACCACACTGTCGCCAACTCAGCAACTTTCTTGCTGTATTTAGCAACATTTTGGAATAAATAAATCAGTATTGGCCAAAATCAAAATTGGTGATCAATAGTCAGCCAGAAACCTCAATGGTTGCTCTGACGATATGAAATAATGTGATATTGTTATTGAACTGCACCTTGTGATCCACTGGGTTTAGTCATGTTTGGACAACGTGATGCTGGCTGATTCACAGGCAGAACATCATGACAAGGTTCTGAGGTCGAGTTCAGTGGGACCGGCCCGTTTCTTCCCCCAAACATCAGGACTAGAAAGCCTCACCTGGAGGAAAATATGGAGGAAGGACGATCACTTTCCATAGAGAAAAATCCCGGGTTGCGAAAAATGAGAAAGTTTGCTGTGAGTCTGCAGAAGCAGGTCAGGGAAAAACCCCGAGCCGCTTCGGCTGGGTGACAGCAGCTCTGGCTTCTTCTCACTAAGGTTTTATTTCACCTTCCTTTGTCTGAGTCAGTTTGTTTCTGTTAGTTCAATATTGTTTAGCTTCTATTGGTTATTATAGTAGTTTTAGTTTTTTCATAATTTGGTTAAATTTTTAGGGGCAGAATTCAAAAAGGTCAAAGTATTGAGATCATGTTTACGTTAATTTGGGTCATGAATACTCACCAAAAGTTAATATTTTCTAAAAAATGTAAATTATTGTTGAACAACAAGCTGACTGACGTTTTACTCCAACTTTTACTGTCGACATTTTACCGACTAGCGTAGCGCCGCCAGGATGGTGACGGAGCGTAAACTGCTTTAAAAAATCATTCCCATCATTTTGAAGGCCAATAAATGATTGATAAACATGAAAATAAAGGACATTTTGTCTGTATTTCAGAATGATTTAGTTAGTATTGTAAACACGTTTCGGGTCCAGTTATAGTTTTTCCTCATTAATTACCGTTTTATTTACTTCAGCTAATGACGATGTTTTCTGTCAGTCTTGTTTAATGATAATAACCTGGGTATCACTCCTGCGAGCGTTCGGGTCGGCTTGGCAGCGAACCAGAACCTTTACCGATCTGAAAGTGATCCGGAGCGGCACTGAGCATCCGGGGAGAAACTCAGAGGTCAGAGGTCAGTCTGAGCCGACCGGGAGAAACGGCAGAAACAGGCCAGCTCAGCGCTGCGTCACGGCACCGCTCCAGGTTTTCCCCCTCGGTTTTATTTTCAGTGAAAGCTTTGAGCCGTTGATGTTGACAAGAGGAAGTGTTGAGCGAACTGGTTGGGACACCTGCCTTTGAGCAACTAAACGCCAGACACACTCGATATAACTTCCCCTCGCCATTCCAGCGAATAGAAGAAAGGCAGCCGGGTTTTCAGAACCTCCTCTTCCTCCCGTATCAAACCGCAGCGCTTAATGACAGAGCGCGTTTGGAGAAGCATGAAAGCGCTGCGGGTTCTCCTTTTCTTCACAGCGTGTGCATGACCGGCCGTCTTGTGAGAGGATGGGAAATGTCAGGCCGAAACGAGCCAAAAACAGCACAATGCCTGAATCACATGAGGAGCCATAAAGTTTTCATTCAGTTTTTTTTTATTCTTCTTCCACAGAGTCTGAATCTGTTTGAAGAGCCGAAGACAATCGGATCATGACGACAGAGAGGAGCAACAAAGCCCTGAAGGTAAAACGCTGGCAGTGAGAAACATCATGAATCATCTTTATGAGCCGGCAGAACAGCAACACGACAGCTGCAGACCAGCTGCTCAGAAACACTCAGACATGAGCAGCAGCTGCTCTGGAGGAGCTGCAGAGATGCACAGCCAGCAGGAGGACGCGACCAAAATCTTTTTCACCCAAAAATATCTGATCTGATCCACTTCCATACGCTAAACCGATCCAATACCAGGAAAGCACCGATCCACTGCTTTCACTGGCTTAGTGTCGGCTGGAACAACTTAAAACGTTTATTTTCTTTTAAACAGACAGATTTGCACATCTAAACCCAGCAACAGCTTCACCAGCTGCTCAGACATGTGAAAACAACTTTAAGCTGTTCAGTCACTGCAGTCAGGAGTAAAACAGCCAATGAAAATAAACGATAAACAGAAACATCAGGTTGACTGCAACAAACATCCTGTCAAAACGTGCAGTTAGGAATGCTAAATATGATGTCAAATAATGAATGAAGCACAGAGTTAGACTGAACTGATCAGGCACATTGTCACAGACATTCAGTCTAGATTTATTTTTAAGTATCGGGCCGATACGGATACTGCTGTGGGATCGGTGCATCTCTAACCGATAGTTTCCAAAGCGTCTGATCTGGAACAAACGGCCCTTTGATTCTTCATCTTAATGTGGAACTAAATGAAACTGAGCTTCACCGTCTGGCTTACATCAAAGCTGGCCTAGTCAAAGTCCAGACCTAAAAAAAAACCTGAATCTGCAGAATGACTTGATGTTGTCCATTCAGTCTGACGAAGCTTTAGCTTTTCATGATGCAGTTCAGACTTAAAACTCTCTGAGGTTTGTGGCTCTAATGTGGCAACAATCGAAAAAGTTTCATGTTTTAACTTTTATTAAAAATGTTTTTGTTCTTAAACGTGCCTCGATGTCGCGACAGTGAAAGATCGATCTCCTCCTCCTCCCTGAGTTAATATTGTCCTCTGAAGAAATGAACCAAAAACAACCAGGAGGCGGGGCTTAGTGCTGTCAATCACTGTCATGTACTTTCTGCTAAATGCACCAATGGCAGCAAAACAACTCGCCGTTACAGGAAGACTATTTATCTGCTGTTGCCACACTAACTTGCACACACAGACTTATTGCCATAGCAACTACAACAACAACAACGTTAATGTATCAGGATTCAATACCAAAATGAAGCACAAACATTTCTCACACAAAGATCAGAACATTCAGTCCGTTCCAGCTTTATGTTTCCAGGGTCGGTGTTACTTTGCGTTTATTAGTAAGCTAACACAGCCGTGGTAGATTAGCTCTCACTGCTATTAGCTAAGCTAACACAGCCGTGGTAGATTAGCTTTCACTGCTATTAGCTAAGCTAACACAGCCGTGGTAGATTAGCTAATTTAACCTCCTGCTCTATTTTTGTTCTGTCAGTTGGTTTGGGTCGATTTTTAAAATATTTTTGTAACTGAACCCAAACACCAAATTCCACAGCAAATCTACATGTTACAGATGTCAAAGTCAAGCTAGCTATCATAACTGATCTATTTTCCTCTCCTTTGCTGTTTTGTTCTGTTCTTATCTAGTTGTAGGAGTGTTGACAATTACTAGCAAAGAACTGTGTCCCTTTTTCTTTAACAGATCACATGTATCTGTACATTTAAGATTTACAGCGTTATGCTAAGAACTTGACAGCTAAATACTAGTCGTCATTAGCAAGCTGTTTCATGCTGGAACGTGTCTAAATATCCTGCTCTGTGTCCCTGCCAGGTGAAGCAGGAGTGCGGGGAGAACGTTCCCTTCCTGTCGGACAGCGAGCTGATGTCGCTCTCCGTGCGGGAGCTGAACCTCCACCTGCGGGGCCTCTCCCGCGAGGAGATCCAGAAGCTGAAGCAGCGCCGGCGGACCCTGAAGAACCGCGGATACGCGGCCAGCTGCCGCGTCAAGCGCGTCTCCCAGCGGGAGGCGCTGGAGCAGCAAAAGATGGAGCTGCAGAGGGAGGTGGAGCGGCTCGGCGCCGAGAACGCCGGCATGCGGAAGGAGCTGGAGGGGCTGGGCGCGCGGCTGGCCGCCCTGCAGCGGTTCGCCCGCGGCCTGGAGGCCGGCGGCGGCACGCTGCTGGCCACGGCGCCGCGCCTCAACACCGCCTCCGTCATCACCATCGTCAAGAGTCCGCAGCAGCCGCAGCAACAGAGAGAGCAGGAGCCGTCCTAGGGGAACCGGAACCAGAACCAGGGGGACGGGAGGGGGGCGGGGTCAGGTGGTCTGCAATGCAAACACACACAGAGGCGTGGAAATTCAGAACCAACACACAGGATGCACAGACTGGATCAGTAGGAAAATACTAAACATGCTGTCTGCACCTTTTTCACGTTAAGCGGAAGTGATTTACCTCAGTGCAGTAAAGTGTGCGTCGTTGCCTAGCAACAGCAGCTTAGCTTTTCTATCCAGGAGCAGAAAGTCACCTGTCCTCTCTCCACACACAGACTCACCTGCTCCTCCTGAACCGGACCGACCCAGAGTTACTGTACCGCATTACTGCAGACAGGAAGTGGGCGGTTCCTCAGCGCAAACTCTGATTGGCTCGTTCCAGCAGTGGAAACTGAAACTGTTGATCCAATACCAAGTAAATAAAAGGCCAAGATACCGGTACCGATACTTTTAATTACCATCAAACTTCTGACCTTCAGCTGTTTTTGTGGTTTTTTATGTCATTAAAAGTCAAGACAGAATTTGGACAAAATTTAAATTTGTCTACAAAATACTACAAAACGCCTACTTCCTGTCTGAAGTTCTGGGTTCTGTCATATTCTGATCGCACCGTCCAGATTAGCGTGGATATTAGCCTAGCATAGCAGTGACTGTTAGCTGTCCGGGTGTCTAAGGTTAAAGATGCGGCCGGAAGTGTTACTGGGTTTACTTCCCCCGCTGTTCTCCTCCATCACGGCGGTCACCAACGCAGTGCCTTCGGTTCACGCAGAACCCAAACAAAGAAAAGCAGAAGCTAACCACTCCTCCTTTCCTGTTTTAGAGCCGCGGCACTTTCAGAATGACTGCTGTGGATTTTCTAGGTTTTCAGCCCTATAACACACACACACATTTCATAAATGTGCAGTAACTTGGGTTCAGTCAGCTTCAGTTTCATTACAAACAGACTTTTTTCCAGGCTTCAGACCCGCGTCGCTCCTGCTCGCCTCAATGCAAATCCTCTGAAACATTCCAGTTTTGTGTTATTTGTAACGTCCGTATGTGCTGCAGAGACGAAAATGTTGAGTGACATTTTTAAGAGATATATATTCTATATTTTATTTGTATTTAAAGGTAGATATTCTGAAAAGACAAGCTAACGAGTGCTGTGATGTTCTACATGTTTTCAAAAGTACTTATGACTAGTCTGAGAAGATTCTCACGTCTAATTATTATTACTGTGTTGTGTGGCGACAAAGATTACAAAACGTTAATGATTAGCTGCGTAGAAATACTCAAAGCCAACGGCCATATTGATGTATGATTATTTTTCTGTGTGTGTTTGTGTTTTATTGCCATATTTGTACCAGCTCGTCGCAGCAGACTCCAGGGAGGGACATTTATTTTTCTACGGTGACGTTTGTTTAAAAAAAGAAGAAAAATGGAGAGACAGAAAGCTAAAGAAAGATGGCGGAAGAGATGGAAACGGAAAGTCGAGGCTGGAAGAGAAAGTGCAGAGAGGACGGCTGGTTGACTTGAAGAAATGGAGACATGTTTAGGCCACTGAATATTCATAGCAATATAGGTATGAGTAGGAATTATAACACCAACCATGCTGCAGAGTAAGACATGTTTAGCTAAGTATGAGCATTTATTCCCGATATCTTAACGTTCTTCCAATCGTGCTGGATGTTTTGTAATACCTGCAAAACAAAAATGGTATTTGTATTTATTACCTGTATTTTTTCTATTGTGAAAATTTAAGTACATTGTCTATTTTATATATTAATTATAATAAATGTTGTACATATTGTACATAAAACAGCTGTTTGTGGGGCTTGATTGTGGAGCAGCAGCTTAACGGCCCAATTTAAAGCATTAATGTTAGATTTTAAATACAAAAACAACAAGAAGGAAACAGATAGAAGAAGGAAATGATTTAATTTATGGAGATGTAAAGACAGAAACGGCTGCAGGTCAGGAGGCGACCAGGGGTTCAATGCCTCGGGCAGGACAGGAAGGCTGGATGGACAGAAGGGAAAATAACAAGGGACGAAAAACAAGAAATTAGAAGGAAAATGAAAAAGAATAAAGGAAAAATTGGAAGGAAGAAAAACAAAAAGGGCAGATTGAAGAGAAACAAAGATGAAATGGGAGTGAAAATAGTAAAAAATAAAAACCTAGACGGGAGAAAAGTCATGTTGGATGAAAAGTTTGGATAAAGTTTTTTTTTTTTTGAATACTTGATCCAAACCTTGAGAATCCTTAAACGGATCTCCAGGTTTTTCCAGGCTCAGCAGGAATCCTGGCGCCATCTTAATTCCAGCGGCTCAGAGAAGAAGAAGAGGAGGAGGAACTGGTTTGAGCTCCAAACTGGTTCCTTTCAGGTTTCACTGGGAACCTCAATCTGCTGAGTCATCCTTTCTCAGCGCTGCTCCCGGACCCCCTTCCCGCACGCACACACACACACACACACACACACTACGACAGAAGCAGCTGGAAACGTGCCGATGACGTCAAAACATCCAGGATCAACAACGTTTTCACCTCAATTCAAACCCAATAAGTTTTTATTTTATTCCTCTGTTCATCACAGCAGCGACTGAAACAACTAAAAACAAAGTTACTCAAATAAAAATACAAAAGGAATCAGGTTAACATCTTAGATTTTCTCTGGGCTGAACACACGTCACCAAAACAAGCGTTAAAATGATCCTAAACAGGCAGCGCGCCTCTTAGCGCGCCCTCTGGTGGCCACGGCCTGAACTACAGCGCAGCAGTGAAAGTACCAAGTAAACAAGTTGGCATTTTCACCATGACTCATCCAGATGACTCAACAAGTCCAATTATGAGTAAAAAAAAGAAAGAGCAGCTGCTTGTGGCGAGATCTAAACAAAAACCACATGAAAAGCTCCGGAGGGAGAAAAAAGTGCTTCCAAATGGAAGAAAAACAGGAAATTTAAACTTTATGTTCACTTTTTAACTGAGTCTGATGGAGTTTCAGGGCCTGACTGTTACAGAAACAACAACAAAAATAAAAAACAATGTTGCAATGCTGACCGGCAGAGATTTAAACGTTTAAACTTTTAAAGTCCAGAAGAAATCAGTGAAAATTTCCAGTTTCTGGATCGTCTGGATTCAGAGTCGCTGCTTTTCCTGCATTAAAACTTAGAAATGATAATTATCCAAAGATAAAAACCATCGTCAATAAAAGCTGCAGTGACCTTTGACTCAGTTATCGAACTGGTGTGAATATCAATGATGCGAATCAATGCTGGTGACCTCGGTGTCAGCTGATTGTATCCATGAAACAAACCTGGAAGCAGCACGTCAACCTGGATTTATAAACCAAATCATTTCAACAAAATTAAGTTAAATGTCACATTTTTAAGCCACTCATGGCTAAAATTATCTTAAATATCTAGATTTAAGAGCAGGGAGACGACCAGGAATCAAAGCTGCAGTTTTTGGGCCGATCATCGATGTTTATCTCCTGACGATTTTCACCGATACCGATTTTTTATCTGAAAAGTCAATAAATATAGCAAGAAAAATCGCTAAGTTTGCAACAGAGAGTGACGGTTGTTTACATCCAGACTTTCAGATCTCTGTGGAGGAAGATCAGACGCATCGGCCGATTTCTCAAATTAAAGGAAATCAGAGCCGATTTGTCGGTGCACCGCACCAGGAGCGCACGTTTTTATCGCAATTAATGTTGTAATCTGCCGATCTTAGTCATTTATTAACATATTGGACCAATAAGTAAAGCTGGGCTGATATTAATAACTGATGTTTATTCCTATCATGCTGTTTGATCACATCATGCAACAACAACAAAAAAATTATCAATATCAATATTTAACTGATATCAGTATTGGCCTAGATTTTCAGATCGTTCCATCGTTTGGTAAAACAATCTGAAGAAGATATTTTAAGAGAAACAATCAGTTTTAAAGAATAGATTTCGACTGAGCAACATATTTAGGAAGAAAAAGTAAAAATATAAAAATGAGGTTATATTAAAGGATTTAAACTGTTGAGGTTTAAATCAGGCTGAGTTTCCACAGACTCAGACGTCTGAGTGTTTTGCTCCAGTTTCTGCATGAAGGTTCCTGATTTTCCCATTAATCCTCCCAGAATAACCAACCGGTCTGCGTCGGGTTTGATTCTCTTTAGTTTTCAGTCTGACAGCAGAAAGCGTTCGGCTCTAGAACTCGTCATCTGAGCTGAGCAGCAGCGTTTTCTCCGTGTCGCTGCGGGCGCCGAGTGCGGCGGCGGGGCGTGGCGCCCGCGGCGGCGGCGCCCCCCGCTCCAGCGTGGCCTGCTGCGTGTACTGCTGGTACGCCGGCGAGAAGTTGTGGATGGCGTCCTGGACCATGTCGCCGGGGCTCATCGTCTCCTTCAGGCTGCTGGAGATGCTCTTCATCGGGGCGCAGCGGCCTGAGGAAGAGGAGGAGGAAGAGTCAGCGACTCAAACTGATTCAGTTCAGAGAAAACAGAAAACATCAAAGAAACTAAAACAATAAAGAATATTCATGATTCAGAAAATCATCTGATTTATTTAAAGGAGGATCAACAATAAACCTGCAGAATAAACTCCAATCTGAACTATCCACACCAAAACGACGCAAGAAACACAGGAAGTGACATCACAGGGACTTGGAGTATGGCAAGCTGATTTATAATAAAACAACATCTTCATATTAATCTATGGCAAGCCTCCTGAGTACTTGATCTTAAAAATGTATTTCATTTGAGAGTATCAGGCCCAGAGTAACAGGATTTAATTTTTTAAATGATGAGAATAGTTTAAAGAATAAAGTTGTAGTTTTATGAGAACTCCTGCAATCATTTCATCTGGTTAAAAATTGAGTCATTATTCTGTTAATATTTGGACTTTTCTCTCTCTCTTTTTAAATCTAGTGAGTCTGTTGTTCTGTCATCACATCCTGTTGATTTCAACTATAAATGTGCAGCGCCATCTACTGTTCAAACCATGTCACACCACATCAGTGTTTATGTTGCAGAAATAAATGTTTATGAATCCAAATTAACTGAATCATTCCTCACAGTGAGAAACTCTCAATTTGACACTGAAGGATTTTAAGATGTTTCTGATTTTTGGTGAAGCTAAAATGAATCAAACATTTGAATCAAAAAGCACCGTTAGATCCCTGCTGAACAACAACAACAACAACAACTGGGTTTAAACCAGACACATAAAAACACAACGAGGCGGTAGAAATGATTCTGGAGTCAAACCTACCAAACTCTCCGTATGTAGAAAGAAATCCTTTATGTTGCAGCAGAGAGGAAAGAAACACGATGCTGAGTCAGCAAACAAGAACCGAATGAGGAGAGAAGTGAAGGTGTCAGGCTCTGGAGCAGCTAGCGCTTAGCATTCGGAAAGCTAGCACTCAGATTAGCGTTCTGAAAGCTAGCACTCAGATTAGCGTTCTGAAAGCTAGCACTCAGATTAGCGTTCTGAAAGCGAGCGCCTATGTTAGGTCTCTGAAAACTAGCAACTAGCTTAGCGCTAGGACTTTTGAAGCGCTAAGACTCTTGAAGCTAGCGCCTAGCTTAACGCTCTAGCGCCTAGTTTAGCGCTCTGGCGCCTAGCTTAGCGCGCTGACCTGTGGAGTTGAGGCTTTTGTCCATGTAGACCTTGTAGGTGAAAGCGTGCCGAAGGGCCAGAGCTGCAAAAAACATCTCTATGCAGATGATGAAGTTCTGGTAACCGGCAGCGACCGTGCCCTCGCCCACCGAAACCTCCGGAGAGTTGATCTGAGGAATGGCCCCGCATTTCTCCAGGATGGCCAGCAACATGCCTGAACAAAAAAAACAACAGGTAGTGAACTAAAACCAGAAACTGACATGAAGGGAAATCTGATTCTACAGATTCTGAATATTTTATTTTGGTTTGAAAAATCTGCGGATTCAGGTCTGGACTTTGACTAGGCCGTTGTACGCCATGAATCTGCTCTGATCTGAACCATCCTGTAATATCTCTGGCTGCTGGTCCTGATTTAACTTCATCCATCAACCCTAACCTGCTTCCCGCAGCATGATGCTGTCACCACCGCAGCGTTAGCGTTCTGCTACTACTTTATCACATCTATTCGCATTGCGACAGAGAAGCTGGTAGCTTGCGTTGCTAACGGATGTGATGAAGACTCCACGATGAAGAGTGATGAAGACTCCTACCCTGCCAGAAGGAGAGGAAGATGACGGACTTGACGGTGAGGAACTTGAGCATGGGCCTGTAGGGGCTCAGCAGCTCTCTGGTGGAGGAGTAGAAGAGGAAGAGCGCGTAGAGCGCCAGGCTGACGGAGATGTTGTACACGATGGAGACGTACAGGTAACCGCCGGCAACGCTGCGGCGAGAAGGCGGGAACGGGATTAGACACGGATCAGACGTCTGAGGCGTGTGGGTCTGCGGCCGGACTCACTCGAAGTCTCCGTCTCTGTATCTGCCGCAGGCCTGCAGCAGCACGGCGATGGCGGCCATCAGCGGCTTCACCACGCAGAACTGCAGCGTGGCCTGCTTACAGAACCGCAGGAACCCGATGGAGAACGGGCGGCCGCGCAGGCAGCAGGTACCGTAGCAACAGCTGGACCTGGGCCGACAGGGAGACGATCAGAAAACATGACACTGGAATATAAACACAACCTTAATGCAGAAATGCAGCAAATACATTTTTAATGCATTTCTAATTCTGTATATATATATATATAAAAAAACTGCAGAATGTGAATTTTTTATGTGATTAAGCCTTTAATTGTGGGAATAATCTATAGCTTCATCGATTATCGATTTGAGGAGAATGTTTTTCTCTGGACTCACTCTATAGGTTTCCCCCGGACCTCCGCCATGATGGCGCTCTCTCCACCCAGATACTCGAAGCAAAGACTCAGGAAGTTATAAATCACAAACGCTGCAGAGACAGAAGAAGAAGAAGAAGATTGTTACTTTTCATGGATTTGTCAGGAAAAATTAAGATTTTCCAGTTTCATGGAGAGATGAACCTGAATGGAGGAGACAGAAACCAGGACATGTAAATCCTGAGAACCGACTGCTGCACAAAACAAGATTAATATTAATAACAGGGAGATGAGCCGGGTCATGATAAACTGCTGGACGATAAATCGTCCCAGAAGTTACTGCGATAAACGATAATATTGTTGTTTTGAGGCCATTTTCCAGCAATAAAAAGATAATAAATATATACATTGTCAAATATGAACAAACTAAATGTTTTGAAGATTTAACGATGGAACTGGAGACATTTTAAATTTACAAAATAAAACAACAAATAAAATGATATGAAATCTGTGGAAACAAAACTTCAAACAAGGTTTAGTTAAAAACAAAATGAAGAATTTTCTTCCAAAATCTGGAGAAGAGAAAAACGATAAATCATGCAAATGGAAATTATTGATCTCGTCTTAATCAAGATCAATATTCATTGATTATTGATTATTGTGACAGACTTACACAAATCTATTTGTGTTTAAATATAAATTGATGGAATTTGATACAGTAAATATTTATTTACAGTCTTTTCCAGAATCTTTGGATCATTTGAATAGAAAAATTAGTTTCTGGATTAAAAATCGTTTATGAATCGGATCGTTAGACACCAAAAGATTCTCATCTCTCCGCCCGTTTGTACCGACTCCACCCGAACACACCGGCCGACGCCTGAAAGACAGAACCCAGGTGAAAGGATGCAGCCTCCACCTGGCCTCCACCCGGCTGGTGGTTGCCATGGTGATGCAGCAGCCGAGGGATTCTGCAGAAGAATACATTATCTGATGCAGCCGGAGGATGTCTGAGCACGGTTGCCATGCAACAGGTTGCCAGGAAAACAGATCTGAGCAGAAGAAGAGGAGAGGAAGAGGAGGAGGAGGAGGAAGGAGCGCGGCGACGTGACGCAGGAGATCCACATCGTTTCAGATGATGAACTGGAGCGACTTCGTTCTGACATCGACGAGTCAGAACCGAAAAATTTCAGTCCGAAGAGAAAAACAAAGACAAACGACGCTTTTCACCAACCGTCATCCTGACAATAAACGACCAGAACCTCCAGCAGAACCTCCATCAGAACCTCCAGCAGAACCTCCACCAGAACCTCCACCAGAACCTCCA